ATCACGCCCCCTTCAACTCCCACAAAACCACCACCCGTTCGCACCTTTTTCAAAGAAGATTAACCTTGCTCATACCCATGTATGACTCTTCCTCCCAAGTCACAAACACGGCCCCCATCCTTCAAATAGGGCGGTTGACCCTCCCTTTTATTGTTGTGAAACTTACCACAGTACGACAGTAAAGGAAACACAGCCGTATAAAATGCACAGTTTCATGTTCAACAATTAACGATTTTTACCGCCTCTACGGTATGATCTTGGCTAGGGTGTGGATGGCTTACTGAACCCAATGACTGAGACGATTATTAATCCTATTCCAGCATTTTTCTACTTATTCCAGCACAAAATCATGATGTTGATCACATGCATTTAGTACGATGAAGACTGGGGTTATGTTGATGTACGAACTGGAGCTCATACTTTCTGGTGGCTCTACGCCGTGAAGCCAGCCAATGGACGACCATTAATTCTTTGGCTACAGGTCTGCCATTCTTGTTCATGATACTTATTTATTTGCACTTCTACTATTCCATTTACTGGAACACAGTACAAATTCACTATGTTTTTCAGTTAAACATGGCCAGAAGTGAGTACTGAGAGAGCTCATCAAAAGCAGATTTAATGATAAGAGTATGTGGGCTTCAAAGACAGAACAGTCTGTATTTTGCGATCCAACAGCGGGTGAAAAACTAAAAATAATGTTGAAGGCAGCCAGAATAAAATCTTGTCTCAGCAGCGATTTTTTGCGAGCTTACGGGAAAAGAGAATGAGTGCCGGGAAGAGACCTCGACGACGAGGGTATGGGATAGTGTAGGGACAAGAGAAGAAGGGACGAGATCCCAAGCACATGGCTTTGGTCGACCCCTTCAAGGAAGCGTTGCGCGCCCAGCACCAGTCCCGGTTCATCAGTGCTGATTTCGGCACTTACTACTCCCTTCCCTCTTATTAGACCTAATACGTCCTCCCGACGAGGGTTCCCCAAATTACTTTGACGCTTGATCAAAACTGTGGCACAAGAAAATTGACGAATTTTCTCTTCCCAGAACTTCGTTTGTACGGGTCATTCGGTACGCTGATTACAAAGATGACATCCGTTTCCTAGACACTGGCGCCATCTGGACCTGTCCGACGCAATTCGGAACGGAATCGGCGTCAGCTTAGTGTCACAGGAGCCAGCTCAAAAATGAATGTCGTATTTGTGATAGGACATAACATACCCCTACAGGTGTAGATCCAATGGGAAATCTTGGTGCAATACAAGTGCGATGCACGCCCGTATTTTCGGTTACGGTAGGCGCGAAATGTACGCGGGGCTATGATCTAACGAGACGCTGTGGGAATCGATAATCACTGCTTCTTTGTTGTTTTTTCTACTTTTGATGGTATTTCCTGCTGGATCGTTCAGATACACTATAGATCGATCATGGACTAAGCCTTCGGAGAAGGGAGAGGCTCCCTTTCCAAAGGCTGTCCATCGATTATCGTTAGATCATAGCAATGTGCTGCAGTCTCCACGCACAGTTCGCGCCTACCGTAACCCATACGGGCGTGCACATCAGACTTGTATGCGTACAAAATCTTTCCACCGCTTGCGGATGTATCACGCGTTGGTTTCGAAAAGTATTGATCGATTAATGCGATCCGGATTGGCGAGTTTGCGTCAAGCATCAATAAGCATCATCGAGAAGTATACATTTTGACTGAAAACCTCGAATGCCTCTCCCTTAATCTTCATCACCCCCAAAACGGCGAATGCGGTAACCCAGCTGATCTATCCTCGTGCTCTACCGCCAAAAAAAAGTGCGCGTCTCGTCGAAATCGAGGGACCGGCAAAAAGTGAGAGACTGTGGTAGTGCGGAGAGGGCAGACAGCAGCACGAGGGGTCGGCGACAGCCATCGATTGTAGATCGAAGTGCAACACAGGCACATCTGAGTTTCAAAAGCCCAGATCAAAGAAAATAGGTCAAAATTTACCATACAAATATATATTATCACATAGAGTTTTCGCTGTCGACTTTCAAATATGATGAACTTTCCGAATTTGTGAACTTCACGGTAGAATAGGGAAAGTGCGGTGCTGCTTGATCAGTTCACTTTAACATTAGCTGTAATATTGAGCTAAATTACAAGCAATATTCTACCCTTACACTTCGCGTAACTAACAAACCGCGGACGCGCATGCGCACCAGCAGCGGCCCCACCGACAAGTCCCGTCTGACACGGCAAGAAAGCGCGTTTCCAAGTAGAGCCTTCGATTTGGTCGGACACGGCACTTCCTCGTGACGGCAAACTTGAGCTCGATGTGAGGAGCGTATCTTTTGCCGTTGATAAGGCGCTAGCGGAAAGCGGGCATAACTGCGTTAGAGCCGTCTAGATTAGCCACCCTCTACCATAACGACGACACACATACCCTCGCCTTCAAATGACCAGAAATTGTGCAATTGCAGAAGTTCACGTGGCATTAACGGCATCGATTCGAGGACATCTTTGTGCACACGTGACGTCACCTTTTCATTGAGAATTTAGCCATGTGTGCTAATGCCACGTCAAGTTCTGCAATTGCACAACTTCTAGTCATTTGAAGACGAGGTTAGATCTTCTAGCAGTTTTGCCTTTTGCAAAATTTGGCATTCCCAGGAGCTCATCGCGAAACAGTCTTCCGAAGAAATCGCCTTCACATTGTAGGCAGCCCTATGAGCGTGTTCTTTAGGACTGCATTGTTTTTGCGTGCGTGTAATTGATTCCGATTAATGACCACCGTTTTTCACGGTATGCGCTGAGAGCAGCCCAAGGCGGCCATAAAAACAAAATTAAAGGCAGCGATTACGATAAAGAGGAGCGCATCGGGGAAGCATATGCACCACACGAAGCAGTTACTTGGCTGCCAAGGCGAGGTGTGGCGCTTTCACGACGAAAGGTGCGCTGGTTGCTGAGCAGGACTTCGAAAGCACTCCGCCCCAAAAGCGATCCGCCCACTAGTTCAGTTGGTGATTTGGACGAGCTGCGTTGCCAGCAGAGGCAGCAACTCGATTGGGGCGTGAACTGGCTGGTGACACCAAACGCCTTGTGGTGAACTCGCTCCGATTTTGATTTTGACGTCCGCTTTTTGAGCTGTTACCTATCCATGAGTGAAAAGCAACGGTCAAAGCGGGCGGTCTCGTTTTCCAGTTCTTGGTGGATTTCCTGCTTTTTTCGTCACTGGCGTACTATTGAGCACCATCACATCACACTGAACCCTTTCAGAATCTATCGTGATCGCTGCATTCAAAACGGTTCACTTACGCTGCGGTCTTCACCTCTACCTGAGAATCGGACTTATGTACGCAGGCAAAACGCGCCGTATGCTCTCCTCTCCTATTGGGATAGATCCCCTACCAAAATAAGCAACATTTTGAACAGTTTCAAAAGTACTGTAAGGCTATGTCGTATAGCCGTGGCTGTGGCCAAGAACGAGTTTGACCCTTGGAGTTTTCCGTAGCACTAATCGACGCCTATTCAGGGAGGACCAGGAGCATCCAGCACAGGATTTGGTAATTTCGAAGAGACGGGACCAAAAAGAATGAACTCGACGGACAACGCAGGCCACTTGGGTATTGTTGGCAGTTTATTCGCCTCTGCCCTTCTACGAACATACTTTTCAATTTCAGCTCCAAGTAGCCGATTTGGTCTATGTGGACAACCCCGTTGGGGCTGGCTTCTCCTACGTCGATGAAGATTCAGCGTTTACAACAGATGTCGCCCAAATTGGACAGGATTTACTTGCATGGCTACGCTATTTCCTGATTGTGCATTCCGAATATCGTACCAGACCATTCTTCATATTTTGCGAGAGTTACGGCGGAAAAATGAGTGCTGAGTTTGCTCGAGTTATCGCCCAGGTGAGCTTACATATTCTGTATTCGGAAACGAGAGGAGCGTCGAGTGCAGACCACACTCGACAAGTGACGACGGCCAAGGAAAAAGAAGAAAAAAATCACTTTTTTCTGGGCCGTCGTCACTTGTGGTGTGTGGTCTGCACTCGACGCTCTCTCGTTTTCCGAGACAGAGGGTCAGAATATAGGTGCTCTTCATACTTGGATCAACAATTCTCAATTGCATCACTGTCGTGGTCCCGGAACTGTGGGTAATGTTTCAAGAGACTTCTGTTTAGGAGATCGCTTCTGGTACTATTCGACTGGACTTCCGCGGTGTAGCCCTGGGCGATTCGTGGATTTCGGCGATGGATTACGTGAACACATGGGGCGAATATCTCTACGCCAATGTGAGTACTCACATTTTTCCTTCAACTGTAACGCGGTAACGGGGACTGTTCCCCTCTTGGGAACCCCAAACTAATGTGATACATTTTGTCTCCTGCACCCAGATGAGTTTGCACTACAGACTCAGTAACGAAAGCGTGACGGTAAATAATCAATAAAATAAAAGTCACACGGATTGATTTTTTCGAGACTTTCGCTATGGGTGTGGTAGACCGCGACAGTTAGTATTCCTGATTTTCTTGGCAGGTGGGGGTAGTAATTCGATTGATCTTTTGGATGATGTCGTCTTTAGGATTGCTAAAGGTAGACGGGCCTCTATGGGATCACATTGGTGAAATGTGAAAGGGTGTGTTTGTGGGGACGAGTAGTTTTCGGGATTGGATGAAAAATACTGCAATTTTCATCAAAGGGTATGGAAGGGGCGAAGTCAGGCAGAACTGGGAGCTGTATATGTCCCCCTCTCCCTCCCTTTCCCACCCCTCAACGGGAAATTTAGAAATTTTAGACGAGATTGGGCTGTATCATTTCCTAGCAGAATAAACTGCTGTAGAAATATTAATGGTAGTGGAGGTAGTAGGGAAGGAGGAGGCGTCATGATACCCGCTCATAAGGGTAAGGGAGGGGCGGGTCAGGAATTTTTTCGAAGTAATTCAACCGAGACGGTAGACCCTGTTCCGGAAAATAACAAAAATGCACGAGGGGAGTGTCTGGAAAAAAATTCAATGTTGCGCGGGTTTTTGTATGTTGATTACTTTATTCCACGCGTAGGTTGCTATGGCTGTCGTGCTTAGTGCTTCTATCGCGAATGCAACCGTAGCCTACTTAAACCCTTCTTACCTTCTCCACTACCCTTTCTCTTCTCTCTTTCTCTTTCAGGAACATCGGGCTTATTGGGATTGTTGCATTTTAAATCCCTCGCAAACCACATAAAAACATTGACCCGATTCGTCTGGAGAAGCCTTACGGTAGACCGATTTGACTCATTAGCAGCAGTATTGTAAGCGCGGACGATTTCACGTAAATGTTATAATATCGCTCCCCCGGCGTTAAGCTATGTCCAAGATCAGGTTGCTCGTCGTGTCAAACAAAAATCGCTGACAGATGTGGATGAGCTTTAGGTAGCAGGATTATTAGTGTTCGGTTGAGACCAGGATCAGCATGGGGAGGCGGCGCGCTCTGAGATGGGCTCTCGTTTGAATCAAATTAATGGAAACCCCTTAAAACATCAAAACCTTCAAACATCATCTCTTTGGTTCAGAGTCTTACCTCCGACAGCCAATCAGGGGTGTGGTTGGACAGCTCAGGCCAAAATGTCAGAAGAAAGGTCGTCAGAATCAATGACTCACGCCCAGACCATCTGGGGGTAACATGCAGGATCTTATTGAATTGGTTCGTTAATACTGTGCCTTCTGATGGCTCTGAGAGCTGCAGAAGTGATCAGGATGTTCCAGGAAAACAGAGGGCGTATCGTATCGTGGTACAATATACTGAAGTACGGTGGACAGGATGACTGGTCAAAGAAACGAAGAAAGAGAGCAGCGTACCGTTCAAGAAGTACTTTTTCTTTGTATTATTATATTTTACAGTTACGTTGACGGTGACGAGACAGCGACTTATAAATGCAACACCGCATTGCGCGATTAAATCTTGCCTACCCATGCTTATCAAACCCCTACTACGACCAGCTAGTTGGTGCAAGGTTTATCTGTCCTTAGTAAAACTAAAGAATTTTCCAGTGACCTCGCGTGAATAGGTCGCGGACTCCTCCCCAGGATAATTGGCTATAAAGGGAAGCCCCGAGGTAAAATGGTGTATAAGGGTGTTTCGCGTGGTGATTGAGCTACGGAATGTTCTGGAAGTTGGAAGGAGAACAAAGAGAAGTCATCGGAAACGCTAAAATTAACGATAGCACCACATACGACCTTACTGGAGGTAAAGACCTTAATATGATGGTGAGACAAGGCGACCAGGAGACAAAAACATGCGAAAGAGCACGCTGATCTCTATATCAATAGCGGTGGGCGGAAAGCGTTGCAAAGGGCCGAGGATCTGGTTCAGGTTGGTAAAGGACATTATCGTCTTAATCGGACAAATTGGGCAAGGAAGCTGGGAGGATATATGAAGTTAGGTACCTCGAATTTCAATCGTGGTATCCTTCTTACTAGTTGGGCTAATACCAGGGCTTGCCTTTGAGGGTCTTTACGCGACACTATTTCACCGTCGCCGCCCCCGCCCGCCCCCCCCCCCCCCGCGCCGTCGCCGCCCGAGCATATTTACCACCATGGCTGTTTCCATATATCTTTATGGCATTTGATTTTCAGAGCAAGTAGGCCTGGAAGCTCTCATTCTGTGTAGAAGAGACTGCTTCCAAAAACAATTTCAGATCGTCAGTTCAATCGTCACGTCGCAGCTTTGCAGAGGGATGCTCTTTCTTCATATATGGACACAACCGTTCGTGACAAACTTGGAATCATTCCTGACAGCGTGAAATTCGGAGGTTCTCCTTTATTTTTCGGCAAGCTATGTAAGAGATTGTTGGGAATAGAGGTTTACGAACACGTTAAGAAAACTTGAGATCACACGATCCGCATCTCCTGAAAGACTGCAGTGAGACAAGATGAGTGAGACTTTAGTACAGAATGTGTGTGTACTATTTCAACTTTCGAACTTACCGTCAACGTTTGTCGATCGGACGTACGCAGGGATTTTTGCGTTCATAAAAATTCTCCTACTATGGTACATTTAATACGGAAACCTAATGTCAACTCTATACGACACCCTTTCGAGGGTTTCAAAAATGAACTCTTAGTTAGCACTGCTTATGGGGAGAGGCCGTTCATTCGGCTCAATCGTGTTTTACGAACGATCCTACAAAATCGGTAATTGACAGCTCAGGTTCAAACGCAGTCTTCAACAACAGTGGCGAGGATTCATGAAGGCCAAACTGGGATTACCGCGATGGACCTGCTCAATAAACGCACCAAGGTGTGATTCGTCTACCAATGGCAAACAGGACTTATATGTAACACATCGGTTCATTAGAACTTTTACCAATAAATTTGCTGAAAATTAGAACATGACACAGGTGGTGAAGTGGTAGTTATGCGCAGCTATATTTCCGGTCCATGCGGTCATCCTAAACCCGTTCTTGAAATAGGCCAAAATCCTATCAGACCGACTGAGTATAATAAAACATTCATGTGGAGCTTTATGGCTTTCATGCGAATTATTTTGAGGTTGATACACCTTCAAAAAAGCAGCGTTCCAACTTCGGCACCAAAACCACCTAGCATCAAAAACCTTTACAGGGACCGAGATGTGGATGAACAGGCTGACGTGGCCTGGAATGTCGTCATACAAATCGGCTAGAAAAACCAAGCTCACCACAAAATCCTTTCCTCTGGCTGGATTCAGGAAACGATACAATAATCTTTCATTCTACCTCATTCTTAGAGCAGGGCACATGGTAAGTAAAAACATGGGTAAGTACATTTTTGTATCATTATAAAACTGATAAATTATAGGTAGCCTACGATACCCCAGAGGCGGCCGTAGCTATAGTGAAGCAAATCCTCGCCGATTATGGATCATAGTTTTTACATGACAAACTTAATAAAGTGTACTATTGCGATGTCACGAATTTTCTTTTATTTTTGTCTTCTTTCTTTTCTATTTCTCTGTTCATTGATCCATATTTTCTTTACATTGGCAAAGAGCTCTGGTTCCAACCCGCTCCCAATCCGCTCGTATTGACGGATCCTTCGGAGGACCTCCGTTGTGCTTTAGGGGTGTCGCCGCCGCCGCGCGCGGCATGTGCGCGCCCTCTCACTGGAGTAATACGAACTCGCTCAGTCAAGTGGTTCGCCTCATCTCCCACTGTCCTAAGTGGGTTACACTCTTCCTGGCTCACGGTTTCCTCGCTTCGCGCTGAAGAATGCGAACATGCCGTGCGTTGCGGCGGCGCCTGGCCCCCCTGGGCCAAATTGCGCTAGGAACGTAATAATTATTCTGGCGGGACCGTCCTATTCGGGTATATAAAGTACTCCTCGAGCACTCCACCGCCTTTTCGGTCACTCGAAACGGAAAAACAACAATTTATTGTATTTACAAACAAGCATCTTACGAAAAACAGGAGCAAATTCCATGATTACACGGTAATCCAAAGCAGGAATTGCTATCAACTGTACACGTCCGCTGAGAGCAGAAGTTCGTTAAAGCAACTAATGTATAGGGGAAATCCGTGCTTGGCGAAGAGCCTGAAAAAATTGTTCTTGAGCTGATGAGCGCATTAGACCTTGCTGTTGTATTCAAGCGTTGTGAGATGGCCAAATGCTGTCAGGGTGGCTTAGTCCGGTGAAAGACTCTGATAATCCATGGAATCGCTAGCAAATCG